CAATAACTTTTATGAAGGATTTGCTATTAGAATAACAGTTATAGTATAAAGAAGAAAAGTGAAACACATAGAAAAAACAAGATATACAAAAATTATCACCATAGGAAAAATGAGATATACAAAAATTATCACCACAGAAAAAATGAGATATACAAAAATTATCGCATCAGTTAATATCCTGTTTCCCCCAAAATAAGACCTCCCCTGATAATAAGCCCAATCGGGCTTTTAAAATGCATGGCAATAAGGCCAAGCACTTATTTCAGGGTTCAAAAAAATATAAGACAAATATATTTTCGGGGAAACACGGTAGTTGGGTAACCTTTAGCATGAATTACGGCCTTACAACGTCTTCCCATGGAGTGAACCAAGTCCTTTAGTTCTGCAGCTGTTATAATGTGAAACCAAGATTGATTGAATGATTGCTTCTATTAACTGGGTTTTATTGCTGGGTCGCTTCTGACTAAAAAGTTTCTTTAGTTGGCTCCATAGATTTTCAATTGGGTTAAGTTCTGGGCTATTCCCAGGCGATTCCAGCAGTGGAATATGATTATCTTGAAATTCGAAAAAAAGAAAAGAAAGTGGTGTTATTAGTCATCAAACCTCAAAAATACACTTTTCCCAAAAGGTTTCCACAATTTTGGCCACTACTATATGTGTAGAATAAAGGGAGTTTCTCTTCAGACTTAACATTACATTTAGACTTACTATGCAGTACTCTACATTTTTGTTTGCCTCTTTCTGAGAAAATGTTCGCTCTCTCTCTCTCTTAGTGTGCTCAGAGTTTTTTTTTTCTGATTATACATTATGGATAACTATTATAAGTCAGGAAACAATACTGCCATGAATAGTTAATGAGAACTGCCCTCCAGTTTTAGAATTCTCTGACAATCAAACATTTTATTTTAAGGCTATATATGCAAAGTTACTTGGGAGCAAAATACAATAAATTTATTTGGATTTTCATCAAAACTTCCAGGCACAAGATCATAATGCCAATGGGTTATTTAGAATTGAAAAGCAGCAATGCACACTGAGGAACCATCTCACCTTGTTTCTCCTTCTCTTTGAGTGGATCTGCATTAAACACTCTAAATCCATTTTCCATTCCACATGCAAAGCATCCTAAAAAAAAAAGATTGCCAAAATAGGTTTAAATCCTCTATGTTAACAATGGAGGAAGAACAAGGCATGCTAAAGTGTACTTTGCATGCAGAAAAGTACTGGTTTAATACCTGCAATTTTCATAATAAAGCAGCTGGCAAGCAAGATCTCCAGCCATAAACCTGGTGAGCATTTCAAACATGGATCTTGTACTCTTTTGAAAGAGCTCTAGTCCAGTGCTGTACAACTGACAATAGGAAATAGGACCACCATGGTTATGTATTCTCTCTCCTTTAATTCAGGCGGCACAATTTTGCCTGTTGCATAGGTAACTACGGTGATTACAGATATATACAAAATTAGAAATACGTTTTATATCCAACCCAGAAGAAACCATTGGATTCTGGAGGTACAGCTGAATCCTCTCAGATTGTCTGCAGAATCAAAACTCAAAACAGTTTGGTTGTTTTGATATGCAGATGACAGAAAATATGGAGGAATGCCTTTGACTTTAGGGGTTGTAAGGCACAGCTGATGTATATCACCCCTTCTTAGCAGCTCTACACAGACACACATTTTTCTCCCTTCATTTAATTCCCACCGCCATAGATTCCCCGCAACCTGGCAGGCCCATGCCACGCCTCCTTCAATCTTTGCAGGACCTTTTTTTCCTTCCCTCAGCCTTTGCAACAACTGTGTTTCTGTTCTTTACTGGAATAGTCTCAGCTGCAAGGAAGTAGCCCCTAATATAGATATTGCAACAGACTGCCTGCCAGCCTAACTTCTTAGTGTCTTCCTTCCTCTGTTTCTTTTAGCCAATTGTGTTCCTCCCAAATCAATCTGCCCAGAACAATCATGCTTTGGTTGGTCTACATCAGGACAAAACAACCCTGTTTGATTTCATATACAGACCAAACCACCTAAAACTCTGTATTTCAGTCAGGTATGGACCTGAAATCAGCTTTTCTGTGAATGAAACGGTTTGTACATAGAACATTTTATAGATAACTAGTGGTTATTGTCATTTTCTCCCTCCCCTCCTCACTTTTCTTTCCCCTTCTCCTCCCCAGTGTCTCACTATTTGCTTTTGTATTTTTGTATTTTATTCTATAATCTAATAAAATGTTCTTTTTTTAAAAAAAAAGAATCAGTGAATACCACTTTAACTTGGCCATGAGAAAGAGACTAGTGCTCTATTCAAGAAGAGCTGCAGTTCAAGATTGGTACCTATTTACAAAGGAGAGCAGTTAAATTGCTCATCTGCTGTAGAAAAGAAAAAGTGAGGGCTAAGTAAGCCCAGCAAACACCTAACAAATAGTTACACACACACACACACACACACATATATATATATAAATATAAAAACGTCTTAAACAGCAAAGGGCCAGGCCCTACCTATGACAATATTTCTCTCTCGTAAAAAGCTTATTTATCTTGGGAGGGCACAAACCTACACAGAATTTCTATATAATACAAAGTATATAGGCATCGGATGGATATGATTCTTCACCATAAATCCGAACAGTTCCTCCTCTGGCTTTCTTCCTGACGACTCCTCTACTTAGAACTAGCCGATGGGGAACTGGCCTCTCATACCCAGTAAAACCTCCCAAGTCTGTTCTCAGTCACCAAACACACAAGACTGATCGACTGCTTTTCAGCCTCGCGTGTCTTGCGAGTCCAGAAAACTGGACTGAACCTTTCGTAGCTAAATCAAGGCCATGTGCCGTCCGGATGCTGCCCACAACCACTGCCCCAAACAGAAAGGAGAGCGGTAGCAGCGGCAAAAAAACAAACAAAAAAAGAGGCAAAAATATCTGGCCAACAAACTGAAAAGGCTGCCGGGCGCCCGCAGTACGTACTATGTGCCGAAGACCCAAAGAGGATCCAGAAGGAAAAGCTGCATGGATTCTTTGCCAGGCGCAACACTCAGCTTCCCAGCCTCTCTCTAACCTCCTCCTGAGAAACTGGGCTAGCAACCGACGCTCTTCCAAAAAGCGGGGAGGGGAAAGGGAAAACAAGCAGGCCCGGGTCTCCGTGCCCGCGAACGTCTGAATGGGGCAGCGGGCGGGCAAGGCAGGCAAGCAGATGATCACCCTTTCCTACCCCCCCCGCCCCGCCCCCGCCCCCCGCCGCCCCATGAGATGATCCCTACCGTGATCCTGGTTGAAGCCGGCGAAGAGCAACCCGTTCCCGTGCGGATTAACGGGGAGCAGGTTCATGGCGCCGGACGATGGGAAAGGCCGCGGCCTGGGAAGAGGGTCGCTCACACCATCAGCCGAGGATCGGCGGCGGCGGCGCCACGATTCCTTCCGGACTAGATCAGGAGCACCCCGAGCGCAGAGCGCATCGAACCGCTTTCCTTGGCTTGCTGGAAGGAATAGCAAAGCAGTTGAGCAGCAGCGGCTTCCCCAAAATCAGTACAGTCAGTACTACAGTAACTGTAGTCTCCGGGCAATTTGCAGCCGCTGCCTTGATTGCAGAGCGCATCGATCAAAGAAACCCACCCGGCTGAGCGCCGAGCTCATTCATGCTCGAATTCGAGCGCTCGCTCGTTTCGGGTGTCGACGGCGGGCTTTACTTTTCGCGGCGGTTCCTACTTTTGAGTAAAGCTACTTAGAGTTATACTGGGAAAAACCCAAGGTCGTAGTAAGGCGAACTGTCGCTTTCCTTACATCGGTTTTCTGTTTCCCCCGCTCCTTACCAAATAGGTAAGGACTTTGGAGAGCGAGGAGTGGGCGGTAAGACCCCCTGCCAGTTCAATGCGGCTGCTCTGTGACTCGATCAACGGAGGTGATTTGGGAAGGAAAAGACGAGATTCTTAATTAGATAAAAGAGCAGGTATTTTTTGGTGGGTGGGTCGGTGGGATTAAAATATGCTTATTTAGATCCGGTATAAGCGGCAAGAATTTGTGGGAAAATTGTTTATAGATTAACACTGAGGGGGTTAGCCTGATTTTTTTTTTTTTACTCCATCCCCTCCAAACTACCTAATGTTATCATAGTTAATGCAACTGAACGCACCCAGATCTCTTTCCCAAGCACATTCAAAGGAGAGCTAGGTGGGAGAGTGTGCTAAATAAGATAAATAGAATAAATAAATAAATAATATAAATAGAATGCAATAATAGAAGCTACATTAGCTTATATTGGCTGGAAATTCTGCTAGCTTAGTAAGTGACAATCTCTTGCTAGTTTGGGTAAATTTATAGAGGTGTAATTTTTATTCTTGGGAGTTAGAGGCTACAAGCACTTCTGAGTGCAGGTAAGCATATGTAGTATGAAACAGTGGGCAGGTGCTATGAAATAGCAATAGCACTTAAAACATATGTGCTTTAAAGCCACCTCTACGTGGTTTACAAAGTCAGTTTATGTCCCCAAACAATCTGGGTCCTCATTTTACAGACCTCAGAAGGGTGGAAGGTTGAGTCAACCTTGAGTGTCTTCAGGATCAAACTCCTGGCAGCAAGCAGTCTTAAGATACTGCACTCTAACCACTGTGCCACTACAAAATCCCTGTAATCTTGTACACTATAGTGGGGCTCCTTGGGAGGAAAACCAGAAGTGATTTATGTCAGCTTCCCATTGATTTTGTTTATGGGAAACTGACAGGAAAGTTGCAAATGACAAAACACTTGATCATGATTTGTTGCAATGTCATAAGAAGCCTGGTAAATGAGCACCTGGATTGTTATCATGTGACTACAGGACTGTGCAAGATACAAGTTCATGGACTGGTTTTAAATGCTCTGTTCAGTTGAGTCATAATTTTGAACTGTTAACTAAGAAGTGGTTTAACATAAGGATTAATCTGTATACTTCCCTTGTCATTCACTCAACCCTCTATGGATTATTTTCACCACCACCACTACTACAATGAGGCAGCACAGCAGGACTTGAGGAGAATCAAAACTGATAAAAACATTTAATATAATGAGGTAATTTTGCTGTGACAAGAACAAGAATGCTAGTTGCTACCGATATGTCATGTAAGAATTCATTGTGTTTATGAAAAATGGTAATGATGGCAGAAAACTGAAATATAGCACATATAGATTAGAGAAATCTCTCCCCAGTAAAGATATTATAAACTAAGCAACAATAGCAACTGCAGCTATACAGTATAATATTATAAATAATTAGACCCCAAAGGAAATCAAAGTGAAAATTGAAGCAAAACTATATGAAAAACAAATCCATTTAAAATTAAAAATCAACAGGAAAAAAATCCCTATCTGCAGTAATTTCATTGCATTTCCTTTCATACATTTCTAAACCACCCAAAGCTATTCAGATGTACTGTATTTCATTTGTAACTAAGTCATTTGTAGGTCATATTTTCTTAGCACTATTTTACTGTACCATAAAATTTATTAGAGAGAGAAAACATGATAGTTGCATTTGTTCACCAATAGCAATATAAATTGCCTGATTGAAAACACCGTTATTTTAAAAACATGAATAAATTTTGCTTTATGGCATAATTCAGGCTATTTATTTCAAGTCTTTCTGATCACTTACGTTAAAATGAAAGGAAACTGACCTTTATTGCAAACAAATAATAAACATTATCTGTCTTGAAAATGGAAGGAAACTGGCCTTTATTGCAAACAAATTATAATAAACATCTGTCTTGATAAAGGAATAGAGATTTGAGAAAGCATTCAAAAGCTGGGAAAGGAGGATAAAATATTTCAGTTGGAAAAACACACATATACTTTGCAGGATTTATTTTTATTTTTAAATAATAGTGTCCTTTCCTGATAAAGCAGCTTTTCAAATTACATTTTTTCTTAGGCTATAGCAAATATGTCTTGATGTCTTTGGCTTTTTCACTATATAACGATCACTAGAATATCTAATACAAAAATGTAGATTTACCAGAAAAATAAGCATATAATCCACAATTTAATTCTGAAACATAGCAAAAAACTTTATCAAATGTTTTATACATGGATGAGACAATTTCTTGTGCATATTACATTAGTAGCTCAAAAGTCGTGCTTCAGAATCACTCAATAAACTCTACAAAACCAGAATCAGATGCTCTACTGAAACAATACTAGAATAATGTCACTACTTATATCTTTTACAATGTATACAATACATTGTTGTTTAAAACTAGGTGAATCTACAATTGACTTTCATTCTAATTGCAAATAAAATGTAGTAATTGAGCAATATTAAAAATTAAAAATTAGTCACTTTTGAGATTCAGTGACACAAAAGCTCAGTACTGTGATAAATTATTCCCTTTATAAAATACACAAAGATTTCATGCACATCAAAAAATTGATATATATAAAATCCAACATTAAAGTTTCACATTCCTCTGTTTTCACAGAGTGCATCATATATCTGGAAGCAGCATTATTAAAAACAAATGTTCTAAAATATTTTTTCTTTTGTCCTGTTCCTGCAAAGCAATACATACATACAATACAGTGGTGGGTTGCTCCTGGTTCGGTCCGGTTCTATAGAACTGGTAGTAAAACCAGTGGGAGGCTCCGCCCACCCGCCACATCATCATCATGGTTGATCTGCGCGGGCGCAGAACGGCTCCCGCGCGCTCCTGCTGCGAACCGGTAGTAAAGATAAATAGAACCCACCCCTGATACAATAGATTTAGCTACTAAATTAGTCCTTGTGTTTACAATGCTGGGCAAAGATTTCCAAAGATAGCTTAGGAGATTTTACAACTATTTCTGACACAAGGCTTTGGAGGGCTCTGAAGCGGACGGATGATTTTGGCTTTTTTCAGGCTGTTCCTTTTGTTATTGTTGCTGGCGGTGAGAGAATAAGAACGACCATGCATCATTCTAGCATTTAGGCCATTGGCCATGGAGAATGACTTGAGATGGCTTCTTAAGGCAACAGGGAGTGGAAGTTTGTCAACCAGATGCACAGGCGTGCAGGAAACTATGGCACGGCAACAAAGATCTTGCAGACTCAGGACTGAAACATAAAACAAGCAACATTAGATGTTAGAAAGATCTTAACAGCCACATGGTGGCAGTACACAGCTAGAACTTTGTATAAGTTTTAACAGCCCTATCTTTATTGATTTCACTATTCTTGAAGTACCACCCTAATCCTGCACCGATTCTTCCCATTACTATGGCTTGCCTTCCTTGATACAAATAACCTTGCAGATGTTTTTGGACCAGAGTCCCCTAAAAAAGCTCCCAACGCTAAAATGATAAAAATAATATGACTGCGTTTCTGAAAACCTGGTTTGCTTCTACTTTTATCTATACCACATCCTTCCTCATTAAAGGAAGGTGGCAGTGGAACTGCTAAGAGTTCTGCAGTTCCACATCTTCCTTGCCTTTTCCTTTTGAAAGAAAGGGTGAAGTTTAAATGAAGCTGAGCCTAGTTTGCTGATGCTCCTGTTGGCTTTGTCTTTGGTCTGCCTTTTATCTTCATGGAGTAGGATGAGGCAGGCGTGAGGGATTTGGAGTCCCTTCTGGTAGTGTTTCTGCAAAATTACTGGCATGATGAACTCAGCAGGTTTACCAGGAATTGCTGTATAGCAATCTTAATTGGGGAATGCATAGGGTAATTTCTGATTATTCAACTTAAAATGGGAAACATTTACTAGGTGCTGGTTATGACATTAAATCACAAGTATGTACCAAAATATTTTTTGTAATTTTTTTTCATCCTGACTAAATATATAACTAGCATATATAGGAAAGAAGTAAGTACATTTCTGTTGCTTACCCTTATTTGGCCTCCACAGCCGGTCCATTCCGTGTCTCATTAACACTATTCTTGCAAGTTCTGTAAAGGACTCTGTGATATTGAAATTACAGAGTGGGCTTACTTCAAAGAATGTCATGCCTAATCTTTCAGCATAAGCCTGTGCCTGCTCAGTAGACACTTGCCTTTTGAAGGCTAGATGTAGGCGGTTGCCAACCAGGATTTTGGGTACACCAGGAGCATGCTGAGAAAGAGAAACAGAACAATGTTAATTTCAAAATTATACCCATTTTCTTCATCAAAATGATTAACCGTACATCATTTATTCAGGACAGCTCCATTTTCTGACTTTGCCTATCTATAGTATGTGGACTGGGTTCACTAATATGCAAAATCATAAGGTGGTTGTTTAGGGTTATCTTAAATATTGTATATACACAATGTCTGATTTTAAAACATGATTGATACCTTCATGTGTAATATGATTCTGGCCAATTTGTGATTTATTCATCAAACCATGATAAAATTAAGGATGGCTTAATGTAATACACAGTCCAGGCTACAATCAAGGGTAGAAAAATGAAATGGGCTGCAGAAGAGAGAACAGGTAGGAAATTACCACTTCCTATTCCCTGAATGTTGAAGAAATAGAAGCATTTAGAATCCAGATCCAATTATCACCTGTTCCAAGAATGTCTTGCTTCCCTGAAAGGAAGTCTAGCACCACTTTTGAAACACTGATGAGAGGAAGGGTAATCCATAAATCAGCAGAAACTTTGAAGGAAAGGGGAAGAACTTAAGGTTGATGAAAATGATTGACCCTCAAGCCACTGTATGGAAAAATCTTTGAAGACAGACCACTTCTAGAAGTAAAAAGAAAATTCTGCTTCATTGTACAGCCCTAGGACTCTTTCTAGGAACTGTAGCACTGTCCTAAGCATTCTTAGTTTTCTACTTACTAAATTTCTATTCTTGTCCACCCACAGTAATTTAGAGAGTTGTCCATCCATACAACCAAATACAAAAAAATTAAAAATGCATGTTTTATTGACACAACTGCCCAAGTTTACAAAACAAAACCATGAATCATTGTTTACAAGCTACAATGACTGAGTTTACACCTGGTTGCTACATTTTATTTTAATTAAAATCACTGTAATTTAGGTGGTATCCTAAATTCAGAACTCTTTTCCATTCAGGTAAATATTTATATTCATATTTATATTTATATTCGATATCTTACCTCATCTATCTCCTTTATCCACCGATCAATGCCATCAAATGACCAGCGATTTGTTATATCATATACTAGTATCACACCCTGGGTGAATGAAATCCATTTAAAATTAGTTTGACATATGGGTAAGTTTAAATATGCATTGTACAATCTTGTGTAATGATATTTGATGACATTATAAGAAGTAGTGTTGAACAGATCTGAACTTTTCTGTAAAAAGTTACCTATATTCAGCACAAATGCATACACATTTTAAAAATAGGACAATACATTTATCACTTTGCTTCCCCTGGCAATTCTTATCATTTCTCTCTGCCTCACTGATACAATTCAAAGATCAGTCTGCTTACCTGAGCACCTCTGGAATAGGAACGAAATATGGTACAGAATCTGCCTTGTCCAGATGTGTCCCTGAAAATGATACCGCATATGATTAAAAATAAAGTCATTTCCATTCTAAGACTAAAGTATTATAGTTGTCTCACTAAGTTGCTTCATTTACAAATGCATATTAATGACTTCTCAAATTTGCCTTTGTCTTCATTTATCATTTTACATTTATTATTAATATTCAACAATTTACCAAAACTGAAAACAAGATACTTGAATACAGATCAATGCATACATTATAGATTATTCTGTGTATATCTGTGTGCAGCCCTAGTTGAGGACAGAGCTCACTCACTGTCAATCACTCCCTTTCACTTTATCATCAGAGAAAATCCATCAAACAGATCACTAGTGCAGAAGATGCTTTACCCATGCCTGCCACCTACTGATCACAGGATTAAACCCATCTTTCTAAACAGTCATCCAAGCCTGCCTTACCACGTTACACATTAAAGGGCATGATTGGTAGTTGCTTTTCTTGTGATACTGGGTGCAATGGAAATCAAAGCCAGGGAAATCCACCGTCATCTTCCTTACATTACAGGACTACATTAATTAATTGTCAGCCCCATTTGCAAGGCTTCTTGTTGGGGTAGAATGGAGGTCAGTAAAGGAGATAGCCCAATTTATGCTGGGCTTTTCTGTTGGGTGAAAGATTGGTGAGTGGCACTGAAGACAATCCTCTGAAAGACCTCTGGGTGATCCTGTCCTTGGTCTGTCTAATGCTCAGCATAAAGCCCCACTCACATGCTTGTTTAGGAAATATTCGGAACAAATAAAATTGATATCTCATTAAGCTGACTAAATAATTTGATCCAATTTATAATAATATTTAGCTAGGATAAAAGTGTCCTCCTGTTGTGACCACAGTTCAGTGTAGCCAAAATACTCTTACCATTAAGTAAAGGTTTATTACACTCCCACCCCTCCTTAGGCATCCTATCAGTTTCTAGAAGTGGCCCATACTTAACTTTGGTGAGGATGAGAGCTATCTACTGAGTTTTTACATAACTCACGTGAGTTTATACTCCAAGTGCAATTGTTTCTTATATAAATAGTTTCCACAACACAGAATATAATCCAAACAAAGTAGTTACCAGAGCTGCAACTTTATTCGCCGGCCATCCAGAAGTATTGTTGTTGTTTTGTAATCAATACCTGAAGAGAAAGAGTGAAGTATTATGTTGAAATAGTGCAAATGTTGCACAAAATCTTTTAATATATAATAATATCAGATTTTTAAATTAAAAAATCCAGTTCTATTTCTCTGTTTTGAAATGTCTCCAAGCAAGTAAACTAAACTCTATTAGAGGAAAGAAAAATATTCCAGGATCTTTGGAAATACAATATAGTATCAGATTAAAGTGTTTGCTCTCTTACATTTAAACTTGCTGTACATAAGATGCATTTAATTATAGTTCTTAGTATGTATTAATGATACCAATGGAAGGGACTAATTTCTATAAATACATTTATATTACAATAATACACTGCAAAGAGGTGCCACTAAAACACTAAGGGCTGTGCTAGGATTTGATGAAAGCTGATGTTGCTTATCTCCTGGACACATATTTCAATATTCCATGTTTTCTTTTTTCTTATGCTGTAGTAGAATGGGGGTGAACTAACAGCTTTGCAACATCCCCCCCCCATACCACCTTATTTATTTATTTAAAAGATTTGTATGTAATCAGTAGAACCCAATCTGGTATAGTGGTTAAGGCATCAGGCTGTAAATTCTAATTCCACCTTGAGCGTGAAGCCAGCTGTGTGAGTTTGGGCCAGTCACTTTCTCTCAATCCTAGGCTGGAGGCAGTGCCAAATCACTTTTAAAAAAAACCTTGCCAAGAAAACTGCAAAAAATTGGCCAGGCAGTCTCCAAAAATTGGACACAATTGAACGGAAGAAAAAAATTAGTCAGTATAAACTCTCCTGGGTTAATATTTCAGATTGTATTTAAGTAGTATAGCACTAAAATCTTCTCCCTTAGTTTATAGCCTCAGCTTTCTTGAACCTGAACAAATATTTATGTTTGCAGAAAGTGCTGGATCCTCTGAGTCATAAGAATCCTTTGCAAATCAGGAATTCTAATAAGACTTCTGTCCACAGCATTGTTTTTAGTATCCTAGTACCCATATAGACACATTCTGTTGGTCAGATTCAGACCTACTCTTTGAAAGGGACATTTTCTCTGGGGATAAAGGAGATCAGTAAACACAATTTGAAATAACAGAGTATTACTAAGACACCTTAAAAATACAACATAGTTTGGCATCACCTAAAGTCCTTGAGGTATAAATAGAACTCACTGACAAGCAAAGTCAATGGGGAAGCCAGATTCACTTAACAGCTGGGTTACTAACTTATCAACTGTACTGATTCACTTAACTGTGGTCATAAAATGGGACAAAACTCACTTAACTAATGTCTCACTTACAGAATTTTTGAGCCCAATTGTGGCCGTAAGTCAAGGACTACCAGTATTCAGTTCTCTAGACCAATAAGGTATTAGCCATGGTTACATTAACATATGATGAACTGCTCACATTCCAGAATTCTGCACACTCACCAGTTATATCAAGTCTGAGACAATTTGCATCTGTAATTGTTTGTAATAACAAATGAGGAGCCAGTAGATGTTTGACTCATGCTGTAACTAGCAGAATTTTTTTCCCATTTAAAATAGCACGCCCATACCTGAGCCTTATGACCAGAAATACATTTTTAAATTGAGAAATAGCTCATCAGTTATGAATTTCATACAATACTTAGTCATTATCACCCTTTTTAAGTGGCTGGTAATCTCTCATGGACTTCTGTACAAAATCTTTCATGAAAATCATACTAGCTGTGATCACAGGCAAAGCAACCGCTCTCTATGATCCAGAATTGTTGTCTTTACATAATGTGATAAATTCTACTGTATTTTGTTTTTAAATACCAAGCCTACCATTAAGTAGCCCATAAGACAGCATGTAAGCACCTGTTGTTGAACAGAATGCATTATTAAGCTATTACTAAGTAAGACACTCCCACCAAGAACAACAGAATTGCAATCTAAATTAGTTGAATTGTGGAGCATGCTTTAAATGGGTTTTTTTTTTTTGTTCAAGTAAAAATCACTGGGATCACATACAGTTCCCTTTTAAATGTCATCTCTTTCTCTCTTGTAGCAACACTGGTATAGTACCGTACCACCCACCATGATTCTGAAAAGATAACATGACAAAAACACTCTGCATAATTAACTATTAAAACATAGTTGTATTAGAAGTATGGTTAGCCAACATAATAACTAATTTTATAAAAGAACCACTGCATGAAGAATGACCATACTTGTATGTATTAATGAAGATGCAGATGGGCTACATTTTGTGCTACAGGATGCATTTAATTTTCTTTGCCAGGTTGTAGTATGCTGGATGATGATATCTCCTTAATGGACAAGGTCTATTTTTCACTTTTTTAGAAAACATATTCAGCTGATATACAAATATGACAAGAGACCAACTATTTTACATTGCCAAAAATAGCTATTTTGCTACTAAATATTGGTTATGCACATTATGGGATTTTATAAATGGCTGTGTGTACAGACCACAAATTGCCTACTTCCGATGTAGGATAAATGACACCTTTTAAGACTGCAGTCCATTGGCTATTTACCCTGATTCAGTTAACAGCAGGGGTGTCAAACTTGCTGCCCATGGGCTGGATGAGTCACGTGCTGGCCACACCTACCTCCATTTTGGCGAAGGGGAAAAAGTTGTGATACGTGACAACAACTTGACGATGCGAGTTTGACACCCCTGGCTAACAGCATTAGGGCTTCCTTTCAAGTCATCCTTCTTAACATGATGTTACAATGTTTCTATCTTTCAAAGTACTGAAAAATACCACGGTCTGCCATGAAATGAGAGCATTGTTAAAACCCTACTCTGTTGTAAAATTAATGCGTAGATTTGCCCATTTTCATTGACTGAATATTTGGGCTTGGCTATGAATGATTGCCCCAAGGATATCTTACAGATCTCATCAAGAAGTTGTGGTATTACTGTGTGTTCTGTTACACAAGCTCAGGTTCAATTACACATATGTGTAAGTGATAAGAAAAACTAGTGTTTTGCAGAGAAAAATGGTGATTCATAGAGCTCATTGGCAAGTATACTGCAACTGTTAGTATCTCCTTATATTCCCATATATTATTATTGGTTATTCTGTTATTTATGCATTCTCCTAGCTGTAGCCACATGAAATCAGGAATATATGCATTTAATTGTATCAGGTACTTGTTTGCCATTTTGTTCGTCCATCTGAACATAGAGGGACAGCTTACTGGTGGACTCTTTTACAAGAGGTTTGCAAGGTATGATCCAGGAGGCAGATCTTGTCTATAATAGCCTCTGGATGTACTGGTATATTTGGCCCGGACTATTTCTGTGCTTTTCAAAGGTTTAAAACCATCAAAATCAAGTATGTCTTTGATTTAAGGAGGATAATCATCATCATTAATTTCACTGCTGTGGTACTGTATTGCTGTGGTACTGTATTGTTCTGTTTTTGTTTATAACAATATACATTGCTGATTTTTGTGCTTTGGTAGAATTGAGAATGAAATCTTTGTGGTAAATAGAAAAACAGAAAAGAGTGCAACTTTTCTGAACTGAACCTGGCTTTTGAATGCCATGCTGAGAGTTGTGTTCTACAGAGTAATAAGATGGGAGAGAATAATTTACTTTCATTTTATTTACATTGAATTAAAATGAAATAGAATTAATTGGCTTCCACAGTATATTTAACAATTGCCCTCTTATGCCATATTTAAAATTATAACTTGGTAAACTTTGGGGAGAAATTTATGCTTTTGGATTGCGGTGCTGAGAACCTCATTTGGAATTTATTTATTTATTAAATGTATATGCTCCCTTACAAAAACAGAATCATTCAAGCATTAAATAAGTAAAAACAGGCTGCTTACTGAAGTACTAATAAGGAAGCTAAAGTTCAGCTATTATAGGTACGAGATTATGAAGCCTAGAAAAATCAAAAGCGATTCAATACTGTCATTGAAGAGATAAGTATAAGTTTATAAAAACTCAGGGAAGTAGTTACTGAGAGATAATCCTGGCAAAATGATATCCTTCAGGTTATAAAGAATTGGAAGTGATTGAATACACAGTTATTGGAGGGTTCTACAGGCTGCACACAAGTCTTTAGGAGCCCTCTGTAGCTACAAATGCCTGAATCCATAGTGCAATGCTGTGGATGCCCAATTAAATGAAGGGAGATATTCATTTTAAAAAATCACTTCTAATTATTTATTTTCTCTAATTTCTGAAATAACATAGTATGAAATATATTGATGTTTAATAAGACAGCTAAATATTACTATGTGAGTAACCTGGATTCCCTCTGAATGATTTTTGGTCAATAAATCATTATCTCTCAACTAACACCATTATTCTTATAGAGCAGCTGTGAGTCTAAAAAGATTATTTGCCATATATTTTCCTCAGTCCCTAATGTGGATATTATTCTGATACAAAAATATATCTCAAATTGCTTTATGATGCCCTCAAGTCCATGCTGGGAAAATGGTAATGAACATTCTGTATATGTCCTTTTGAAATAATAGTTAAGTACATTCATGTGATCTATGCAGATTTTTTAAGCTGCGTTCCTATATCTTTTTATCTCCAAAAAAGCCCCCTACAGTAACACTTAAAATTAGATTCTGAAAAATATTCTGGAAACTTTGCATGTTATATAAAATTCTGTAGGCACTATTATATTGGGTGGTTTAGGGGTGGGGAATTGTGGTGGGTGGGAGTGTGTTTGGGGATTATGTGTGTGGGACCTGGTCTTTGGGTGTCAAGTAAATTTCGTTGTATGTGTATACTGTATATACACATACGACAATCAAGTTTATTTTTATTTATTTATATCTTAGTCCTAAATAAACATAATATAGTTCTGCTTGCTTAGTTCATTTTTGATCAAAATTAAATTGAAAGGCAATTCCCCTCCCGCCACTAAATTATCATCAGATGCCCTTGTTTCTGCTTCTAAAATTGGAATATCTTCTTTACAATTTCTTGCCAATAGTATTGTTATTTGCTTTGTGATGCTGTTAGTTTAGTTCTGTTTAGTTCTTTCTT